ACGGGGTCGCAAAGAGTCGGACACGACTGAGAGACCTAACTTTAACTAACTAACCATGTATTAGACATTATCTAGTACAGACTACTTCAATCTTCAAAATAAATAAAAAAGTAACTATATTTGTAACTACTGGCTCTTAGTTTTTACAAAACTCTAGTAGGAGTATTATCTGTGTTTATGGTTACAGAGACTGAGACTCAAAGAGGTTAATCAAGTTATTTGCAGTTACTCAGATAAGTAATGGAGCCAGGTGGAAGGGAATGAAAGATGAAAATAACAAAAATAAGGAAAAATAGAAATAATCTAAACAGAGAAACAAATAGAAACTAATTTCTAAGATGGTTGGAGATGGTAGCATGGGATACAGGCAAAGTTTCGGAAGGAAAGGTCTTGAAGAAAAGAAATAATTGTTGCAGATATTGTGGGTAGAAGGAATAATATGATTAAATACAGGAGTAGAGAACCAAGTATATCAGAACAGCAAAATGAATATTTAGCTAAAGTGGAGATATATGTGGTATCATATTCAGTACTTATTCAAGAAACATTTATTGAGCAATTTCTCTAGGCTTGTAAGGGAAAATAAACCCAGAAGGGAAGTTTCACACTAAAGAATGAAGGTTGTGAATGACAGCATAAAAATCTGTACATAAGTCAGCACATACTGGGTTGCCATCGAATATAAGTAAGTAAGGCTGATAGTGTGGTAGGTATGTGGTAATAGGGAGAGTCTGTACTGGGACAGCAGCTGCTATACAGTGGAGGGTAGGGATCCGGTATAAGGGGAATGTTTATAATTTGACACCTGCCAAAAACAAATCATTAGGAAGAAGTTACAGGAGAAAATGGCCTCCATCAGAAGGATGAAAGTAGATGGCATTCCTTCATTCACAAATTCTTTTGAATAGTAATAAAAAAGGAATAAGTCATGTATGTGACTTTTGTTTTATTGTTATTTCACAGAAAAGTCACTAGGTTTATTCTGTTTATAAATGATCTCACTTTCAATGTTAAAATATTTAATATTTAGTAAGTAGTTTTCTGACTCCTAACATATACTTAAAGACCTCAGGTCCTAGAATTCCTAATTTCTCAAAATCTGACTTAACACTGCCTAGCCAATGATGAAACTACAAATGATTACTACTAAAGAAAAAAGAGCAGGGGAGCACAACACAAAGTATTAAAAATGAAGGATTTTTCTTTCTTTGTATAAGTATTACTAAAACCTGGAATTTTAAAAACTACATCTATTCAAATTGTCTGCATTATAATCAGGTGCCTTGACATAATTCACAGAGTTAAAATCATTTCTACTCTCTGGAAATCAAGAGTGTCCCTGTTAAAGTGTAAAATGAGATTTTGCCTACTTGCAACTCCTTGTTCTCACAGCTGAACTGTCACAGCATGAAAACATTCCCCTACTGGTGAAGCTTTAGATACCTATTTCCCTGGTGAAAGAGCGCAAAAAGGAACTAAAAGAATTATTGACAATTCATACAGTATCCCATGTCCCATTAGAGTACAACTATAAGCAAAGAAAATATTTTAACTCTGAAGAGAGATGGGGCAACAATGCTTTAAATGACTGTTAAATTCACTGAGTAGTATTGGAAATATCAAAAGACTGTAGTCTATCACGTTTGTAAGAGACTCAAGATTATACAAGAATCTAATTATAAGAAGTCTCTTTCTTTGTCCTGTTTGTTAAGTCAAAGGTTAATGAGAAGTACATTGAAGAAAACACCTTCTGCATTACTGCAAAGTATTTCTCATGGAACATACAAATGTAAACCAAGAAATATTTTAATATAGCTCTTCACTAGTATCCTTTAAAAAATAGCTTTACTGAGATATAATTTACATGCCATAAAATTTATTTTTTGAAATGTTTAATTCTATGATTTTTAGTAAATTTACAATTATACAGTCATCATCATAATCTAATTTTAGAACATTTCCATCATCCCAAACTATTAATTTCTTGATCTAAGATATTTCCGTTAATTCACAGAAGCCACTGTATCTAAAACTATTACATATTCAAAGCAACAGAAATTTCTGCAACTGAGCAGGAAAAGTATAAACTAATCTCACCTTTAATGACCTTTATAACCAATCCTCTACTCTGGCATTGGGAAGAAAATGTTCAGGTGCTTTCTCTGAAAGTTAAACCATCCTAAATATTCAGTTATGGCACACTGTCTTGGAAAGAAATTAATTATATTTTTGTTGGTAACACATTTCAGGCTGTTTACACAGCTGACATTTCTCAGCTGCACCCAATTCATGCCCTAAGCTGTGAGGACGATCTTATTTTGTAGCAGATGCCTCCACTTGAGTGATTTAAATAAGTATAAAAACACCATCGCCTGCAACAATATAGATTACAGGCACCAGCTTTATGAGTTTTTAATAGTTCTAATGAAAGAAAGGCTGCATGACATTTCTTTGGCTAGGATCTCCTTAAAAGACTACAATTATAAGCATTTTTTGTCAAGACTCACGCACTGGAACTAGAGGATCTGCTATCACACCGATTAAAAGCAGCCTGGCCTTAAACATCTTTGTTGTATCAAATCATGCAGATCAAGGCAACATCTTGCCAATGTGGCAAAATACGCTCTGGGGAGGTACAGGCAGGCATCACTTCACCCGTTCTGGGACAAGGTGCAAATATAAGAAATGAGGCAAAAAGAATCAGGCTCCTTAATGGAGATTCCCTCTTTACTGGGATTTCTAGTACCAGGTAGAAGCACAGACGGGAAAAGAATGGTCCAGTGGTAAAAGGCGGTAAAAATCTGCCTACCAAAGCGGGGGATCCAGGGCAGGCAACTAAGCCCATGCTCCACAACTCCTGAGCCCACACACTTTAGAGGCCATGCTCTGCAACAAGAGAAGCCTCTATAGTGAGAAGCCGGAGCACCGCAACTAGAGAGTAGCCCCTGCTCATCACAACTAGAAAAAGCCAGTGCATAGCAACTGGCTATGCCAAAAATAATATAGCCAAAATAATATAAATAAATAAAATTAAAATATATTAAGTACTATGTTACAGAGGAATATGTTGCATTTCACTGATTTGCCTATCACTCTTGGAACTTGCTCTGATAAGTCCATTTCAGCTTGGTATCCATAAAAATGGGGCACATGAGCAACTAACTTTTCCAACGCTATTAAGTCCCACATTTCTGGACTTCATTATCTTAAACCAGACAAGTATTTCTGTTTTAAACTTACAGAAATTTTCAAATGTATACAAAACTTGAGAGTATAATATAAAAAAATCAAATATACACATTAACTACCTTCAACAATGATCAGTTTGGATTTATGAATATCCCCACTCACTCTTCCAACACAAGAGGTTATTTTGAAGCAAATCTCAGGTACCATTTCATTTATGTAAACCAGTCAACACTTGCCCCTGATCACTCTGAGTTATGTTAATATTAAGTTACAATACTGACTCTCATTTATTGTCTACTATGAACAGAGTATTTGTATTATTGCTAATACTCATTACAATGCTTTAAATAAGTGAGATATCTGAAACTCAGTGACATGCTCCATCTTAATAATTTTCTTCTATTAATGTTATAAATTGTAGCAGGAAAAATAAATAAATTGTAGCAGATTATTAGACAATGCTAAGAACATTTCTGGTTTCTTCATATCTTCTCAGGTAAACAAAAAGCTACCATTTATATACTTAGTTTCTTAATTTTATAAAAAGAAATGTATCATATTTTCCATCAAATTTCTCAGTCTAACAGGAAAAAAACACTAAAAACAACAACCACATTCTTACCACTTAGCTATGGACAACCATCAATAATTATAATGACATACCATAATGTCAATGTCAAAATTAACAGTTTATAAATAAGTGTAAGTCCCTATATGTAAATAATCTTTTTCTGAAGGGTTCACTTAAAAAACAAGTTTTGCTATTTTTTGGTTATTTTTGAAGTTTCATAATCCACAAAGCATTTTCCAAAGGCACAATGTTTAGATTGTGGAATAATTAGACTCAAGTGGCATCTACATAAACAAACTGTTTAAAAATGTTACTGTCTTCTGCAAAGAATTCCTTTAGACTAAAGTATATGATGGTGGTGCTAAGAGAGAAGTGGTAATTATTATTATGACAAAATGTAATATTATTCTGACAAATATAATATTTAGAACATAAGAAAACATAATTAAACTCCTAGCCATAATCATTATTTGGATATTTATTATTGTAAGATGTTTACAAAATCTTAGCATCTTTTTAGCCATATTTATTTTAAAAATAACTCACTTCAAAATTCTTGAAAGATTCTAATTTTTTCCTTAAAAAAACTGATTAGAACAATCAAGATTGTGGATAAAAGTAGCCAAATGGCCTCCTCAATGATAAAATTTACTCTCTTAGAAAATAATCACTGGAAACAAGATAGAGGTAGGAAAGGTTTCAAAATTTACAATAGGAAATTATTATGAGTAGATGTAATAATAATTAAAAATTACAGACTAGGTCTTTTCTTTCAGTTTTTTATGGCAGTGAAAACTATAAGAGTGTTTAAGAATAGAGTGCTATTAATATTAACTATAAAAATTAACTTTTTAAAGTATAGGTCTAACTATGGGAAATGTAGTTATAAAATTAAATAAAATGATTAAATCGATTTTGAAGTATCTGTAATTTAGGAAAAAAATTTTTGGGTTTGGGACATTTCATTAGCAATATCTGAATATTTGTATTTTTTTTTCATCAAGGAAAAACTTAAGTCAAATCAAACAGCATAAAGTTCCTGATACTGATATAACATTATCAAGAGAATGCTGATATATTTGGCTTATGACACTAGTTCTGCAAGTGAATGCAAATGATCTACAAAAATTACTTCCATGGATACAAAGCATTTGATTTCTGCTTAATATCACTGCCAATTAGGCTGAAAGTGGCAAAAGAGAGAGGAGGATATAAAACTGACAATTCAACTGTCACTTACGGAGTCATCTGTGGCAGAAGTTGGCCAGCCCTCCCATAACTGATGGCGAACAGGGATACTCGTGAGGTCATACACATTTCTCTTTACCTATAAAAAGGAAGAAAACAATTAAAATAGGGCTTCCACATGACTTATGATAGCTGCTAGTCAATTTATGGGATACACTTTGTTTCCTCTGTTCTATTCTAGATTTAAAACAGTTAGAATTTGAAACTAGGAAAACACAAATCATAAAAAATTTTATTAAAAAAAACTAAACCAAATTTAAAAGCAGATTCTCAATGAAGGTTAAATGAAATAACAGTTCAAGCCATATTCTCCTACCTCACCCTGCTGATTATTTTTATAATCCTGGATGGCTTCAAGTTTCTTCAGTCAAAAAAGGGTAGTAGTTTCTTACCCAACAGGGTGAAAGGAAAAACCTGGAGTTTCCTTCACTGTTTTATGTACATTTCAAGGATACAATAACTTAATAATAAAGCTGTACAGGATATATTTTTTTGAAATCACCCCAAATTAGAAACTATTTTAAGAAAATATTTATTAACTGAGGGCTATCCATTAATATATTATTTAGGCCCTTCCCCCAAAGAAAATATAGTACTGATAGTTTTTATTTTAAATAAGACAAAAGTTGAAAAACTATTTCTTTCAACATTTAATATTATACTTTGAAACTACTTATTTATTTATAGCCATACCACACAGCTTGTGGGATCTTCTCCACCAGGGATCAAACCTGCACCCACAGCAATGAAAGCATGGAGTCTTAACCACTAGACCGCCAGGGAATTCCCAATACTTGTTAACTTTAAAGGAGAGGACACAAGTAATTATCAGAATGAAGTGTTGGAAGGTTAAACTCTTATTCAGTAATTATCATATCCTTTTTTAGCTTTTTTCTCTAAATAGGTTACAAAAATTCTCTTTCATTCCATATTTCCAAATAAATGATCAAATCATAAGAATGAATAGATCATCCATCTTAGCTAACTCTTCATGTAAGTTCCAGGCTTAACATTTTGTAACAGTGAAACTAATTTTGAAATGTTGCACATGATACATTCTATAATATGATTCCCATGTGGAAAAGGAGCAGTGTTCATTCATGTTTTTAAAATGCAGAAGCCTGAAGTATCACATGGTCCAATTGCAGCATTTCTGTATCACATTACTGTTTGTTATACATAAGCATATCTAAGTTACACTTCCAGTGAAATGGAGAAATATATTCACTGGGGAAAGAAAGAAACAAAACAAAACCTGGAACTCAATCTATTTTTATCTCTAATGTACACCTGTGAAAAAAAGACTTAGTAAATGAGAACTGTGGAGCTTGGGGGCATGGCTTGATCCCCACTCAATTCAAACAAACAGCTTTTTTCCCCAAGATTCTTAGCAATGGCCAGTCTACCATGCAGTATTTTGTTTATGGTCAGTCACATCAAGTTTGGAAATTTTCGTTAGTCATTATCAACCCAACAATTTAACCAAATGCAACTGGACTAACCTCTTACCACCTGCACTAGCTAAGACTATTCTGTCATGCTTAAACATCAGTGCTCTTAAGAGGAAAGGTGTTTCATAAAGCCGAAGTATTATTATTATTGTTTATTAATAAAAGAAAGGGAGAGGACAGAAGATGGGAGTATGAGGAAACTTTAAGCCACAAGGCAAAAAATTCCTTTCTTAAAGTTAGTTTTAATTATGTTGTCTAGAGACACCAAGGGTCAGCAGTTATTCTTGAAGGTAAAAGGGAAGGCAGGGCAAATATTTACATCTGTTGGAAAGGTGGAAAGGCTACCTCTGCACTGGAGAATATACACAAATACTATGAGTGAATATATAAACGAATAACTCTGGAGTGGCATTCTTTAAATTCCATCTTAATTCCAAAACATAACAATACGGTATTATGAAATAAACAGTATTTTTCTTCTTTCATTAACTCATCTGTAACTGCACTGAATGAATAACATTCCTTTGCTATTCTAAGCCTGAAAAGCATGTTCTGGCTATAGTGTTATGTTGGTATAAAGCACAACGCCAGACTGATGTGCTGAACAAAAGTGATCAAAGTTAGAGTAATGTTAGCCATTGCACAAGTATTTGGCTTCATTGTTCTCCCCAGAATGACATCTGTTAAGCAACTTGTCATAGAATAAACTGGTTAATGCAGAAAGAACTTGGCTGAGAGGGTACAACATAAAGCATATTAGGCTAATGTTTGATTGTTTCAACGGAAAAGCTAAGTTCACAGTGTTTCTGAAATTAAGCTGAAAGAATCTTGTGTTAAACCATAATCACTAAACAATATACCTGAAAACAAATTAGTTTTTCAAAAACAATTTCATGTTCATCAGTGATAAAACCATAGGCAGATTGTACTAGTATATGGAAGAAAGACAAGTGATGAGACAGCAAAGGTACAAAATGAGTGATGGTTTTATTAATAGAGATGAAAAAATTCTATTGTCTTTATTGATGACTTTAAATTTTCAGTGACAATCCTGCAGGAAATAAAAAATCAGAAATATATACAAAGTAAAAATTATTCTTTTAAAAAATTAGTATTCTAGGAAAGCTGAAGGGCAAAATATACCTAATTATAAAATGATGCAGATGGATTTAAGGTCATCATGAATCAAATGCAGGACAGTTTTCTGAGAGAGAGAAGGATGAAGGAATGGAGGAAGGAGAGAGGAAAGACTAAAAGCAAGGGGAGAAGTGAGGGGCGAGAGGGGGGAAGGTTGAGAGATTGACTGATTTGAGAGATTTAAGAGCTCTTCAGAGAGGCAGAAAGAACACACACACAGGCTAAGTTGCTGTAGCTGGCATGCTCAGCTGCCATTACTGTGCTACTTCTGATGGAGTTTCATCTTTAGAGATTTGTGGTAAATTCCAGTTAAGGACAAGTGGCACTTCACAGGGTAACATTTCCTAAGGGCCCTTTTGTCTTACATACTTTCTTTGATCAGCTTTGGCTCAAGAGCATTCTGAATCTTCATAATCTTTTCAATTCTTGTTATGCATTAAGCTCTAAATCTATGAGATTTTAGGCTGCTGAACTACGTAAATGCTTCAATTAGTTCTGAAAAAATTTAATGAAAGCTTTGATTACCAGCTGAACATTAAAATTATGTTACAAATTACACTGTATTTGGATCAAAGGTTCTAGATTGACAACAGATTTTCCACAGCTTATTTTCCAGATTTTCTAAAAGAACAGTTTCATTTCTCCGCCTTCAGTTGTTTGTGACTAAGAAAAACATATTTCAATCAGATTACCCTGAAACAGTACAGAATTAAAGCAGTATTGATTCATTTCCTTATTAGTGCTTTTCACTGTTAATAAACATCTATTTATATATAATAAATAATGTAAGCAATGATCTCCACTTCAAACTTCATATTTCCTCACTGTGGAAACTTCCATGACACACACAGCACTGGGAAAAAAGATTATTACGACCTGTTCAATATAAAATTATATAAGACATTCATCGCCCACAAAGCTTTGAGTTCCATACATTTTTAAACAGTTTTATACTTTGGTTAAATTTTATCAGAATTTCTTAGAAAATAATTCTTAGAAAGTTCCTCTTCTAAAGGCTAGATTTTGAGGTTGAGGTTTTAGATTAGCCTTAAATGAGCCGTTTGCAGCTATTCAAACTGAAAAATATAAAAGCTGGTAGACAACTTTGTCAGCTATACTTTATAGCAAAATGTTGTGAACTATATGTTAGACACACTACTGAAAAATATTTTAAGGAATTTTAAATTTCATTCAGGTATTATTCAAGTGAAAGAAGATTCTGATAATGTTATATAAAAGTCACAAAATTTGACTTACTGTGGCATAAGAGACAGAAAACTAGATTTCTAGTCCCAATTCTACCCAGCTGTTACTGTGGTGCAAACTGGTAGAAACTGAGACCTAGTTTATTCAATATTAGAAGAGAACAAAATGAGCTCACTGCTAACTTTCTAAGCTCTAAAATTCTTTGATTTTTTTGAAAATACTGGAGTTAATCCTAGGTACAGGAAAAGAAGAGCTAACTATATTTAAGATACGCAAGTAAAGAGGGAAAGTTTAAAACCATTAGGGCTAGAAAATGAAAGAAAAATAGTAGAGTTAATAAATACAACCCATCAAAAAGGAAAACTGCAAATAATTTCAGTTAAGAAATCCAGGCATATAATAAACATTTTAAGTGAATTTTTTTCTTGAGTAAAGAAAAGTCTTAGTTTTTGCTTTTAATTATACTAAAAAGTCTTAGTTTTTTTTTTTTTTAAAGAAAAGACTCAATAATATTTTCCCCCCAAGAGATCTGATTTAAAAGTCAAGCTTACTGGTTTACTTACATACTGGTTTCCCAAATAATTATTTCATCAACCAAACAGGATAAGTGTTGCCTGAATACTAAAAGCGGAGTGATACAACTGCAAAGTTCTACTAATTTATTTCAGCATTTAAAAAATTTTGAAATCTGGCCTATGAATTTTCACATATCAAATAGTTTAAAATAGCAAAAAGAAACAGATACAAAATATTGAATTGCCATGGGTTTAGAACAGTTATCGGTTTGTTAGCACTTTAGTTTCTAGATTTTCTGAATTAAGAATGCCTTGACAAATTACAGCCCTTACAAAAAAGCACCCTGAAACTATATACATTTATCTCATTCTCTTATCAATCTTAGAAGAGAAAGGCCTTTGGAAATATTAGAACCTAAGCTTATTCAAATGTTAAAAGTATCAAAATCTGAATTGCAAGTAATTCACACCATCAAATGATGTTCCAGTTGAGTTTGCTAAATAATAACTGCACCAAACAAATAAGTATCTGTGTGTGATTAAAATAAGACACACAGACCAGGCTTAGTTCCAGTTTCTTAGCAATCACTGGTGCTCAGAAAGGCTTATAATAGGAAACCAATCACTTCTGATCCAGACTGAGTTTTGAACATATACTTCATATCTAAGGACTTTTTTCTTTCTTTTTTTTTTTTTAATATACTGTACACTTGATGCAGTTGCACATTGATCTGTTTTACTATGACGCAAATTAAAAATCCTCCTAAAAA